ACTATATACTTACTTTTACTATATACTATATACTTACTTTTACTATATTTTACTTTATACATATTGCTATTTTAGTGTATTTATATTGAAATGATATGTTTCGTTGTAATGCTTGTCAATGATATGCTGTAGTTTGATTGAGTCATTTGTAGTATACTTTTTCTATTATTATGACGTTTATTTCTGGCAAGACAAAGCTCATTTGAAAAAAAAAAGACTATGAAACTACTAATAATAGTTGTTTATTTTATTTTAGCTTGGGATTAAATTGGTTAAAGGAAATAAAAGGTTCTTTTTTTCAGTAAGCTTTAGATAAGATGTAAGGAAATGAAAAAACTTTACTTGGAAATGGAAGAAGTCTTTTTGAAAAAAAGCAAAATCGATGTTATTGTTAAGTTCAAATTAATGCAAACTTTTAAAAGTAAAAAACAAAAATTGTACGAAAGTATTAAATTTTTTTTTGTTTGTTACTTTTGATTGAGTAAGACAATCTTTGAATAAATTATTATACTTCATAGAATACAAATACTTTCAGCAAAAATTTAAGTTTTTATCATTTAAAAGGGGTCAAATGTGATAAGAAAGTAGTACGCTGTGTAGTTGAATGTAGTAGTCTGCAAGCGTAAAAGATGTTTGATGTTTGATAGAATGAATGAAAGAAAAATATACACAAAAAATTTATGAATACGAAGCAGTAATCAGTCTAGTAGGGTAGGGTCATTTAAGTCATTAGAGAAATACTTTTTAGTGTAAAAAATTAGTTCATTTATTTTTGGTATAAAAGAATTCAAAATTGAGAACAAAAAAATATTTGATGAATTGAAAAAAATTACAATTTTGCTAACTTTTATCTTAATTTTGCAATTATTTGATACGAATATGAAATTGTAAAGAAAATTAGAATTTATCAAAATTGCTTTTTTTTTTCTTTCAAATAGAAGCTGAAAAAGAATTTTTATTTGAACTTTAACATTTTTATAAGTTTAAATTTCAGTTTTTGTGAGTGCAATCTAATAGCATTGAAACTATTTTAATTGAATCATTGTGTACAGTGTGAATCAAAAATTGAATATAATTTGTCATACAATTTTGAGATTGATCTTCACAAGTAAAGTTGCAGTAATCAAATTAACCATCGAGAATCAGAACAAAAAAAAGAAGAAAATATCTGTAGCTACCATCAAAATTTTTGTTAGTTTCGCTTGAGTTAAATTTTGGTAGAAAAGACTAATTATCAATTATGCAAAATTTCAATTCAGTCCAAAATTATCCTTTTATCACTACAATCCTTGATAAATTAATAGAAAAATTGTTTGTTTACAAATATTAGCAAGTAATTTTGATAAATAATTCAAATCTAATAATTATTTTAGTCTAAGCAATAATTAGAACTTCTAAGAACTTTTTTTTTTAAACCATTCTAAATACTTTCAGCAGCATGAAAAGCTGAGGTAGCAAAATGATATAATCAAGTTATTATTAAAAAATGAAGAATTTGAGCGAAGAAATTTTGAAAATTTGAAAACTAAATGGAAGAAACTTGTCTAAGATCGAATTTGTGCTAATGTGATAGAATACAAATATCATAAATATAGCATAAACTCAAAAATATTTGACATTATAATACAATTTTTCCTTTTTATCATCACTGATATGTAATGTTTGGATTAAAAAAAAATTTACAATATTAAGATTTGATTTTCATCATAATTGAAATAATTAATCTTATTACTTAATAATGGAACAAGTAAATACTGTATTTTCGTTAAGCCTAGTAATTAATTAAGTCAAGTTCTATCAAAAGATTTGGCTTCAAGCATTAACGTTGACTAGAAGATCCAAATTTGATAGGTACAACTTTATCTGCATCGCTTTCAACTTGTCGAGCAGTATGTCTGCAAACAATACTTAAAATAACTATTAAATTTAAGCAATAATATTTGACCTCTTGCCATAACCAATTTAATATGCTCTAGTTTTGCTCATTTCTGATATATAAAATACTAGTTCCAAATATTTATTTATTTATTATTGAAATATATCGCAAACGATAACAGATTTTTTGTAAAATAAAAAAACTCTGATTGAAAAGTGATGTCATTTATTTTGTTAAAAAAAACAAAAAAAAAAAGAAAACAAAATGAAAAAACAAATTAAATTAGAGTGTGTTATTTTTTTATAAAGGCAATTGTGTTACCGTGTTTTTGCATGTTTCATTTCCGCCGAAGAAGGTACTTTAATTGGTACTGTATTAACATTCTTTATAACACGTCCATGTGAATCAACCAAATTTGTTTGTAGTACTGTATTTAAGCCATAATTATTTTTTCCTAAATTCTGAAAGCAAACAAACAAAGCAATACAAATGTAATGAATGTATTTAATAAAGTATGCAAAATTTAACTCTAATCTTTTTTGTTGCTTAAATGATTAGTATGAGTTACTTTTTAACAAATAGCCTTCAAATAAAAGAATAAAAAAAGTTGAATAAATGAAATCACACTATTAATCTCTGTCAAAAAATTGCCCTGTTTTTAGCCATTACTGCTGCCATTTATTTTCATGATTAATATGATTTTTTTTTCAAAAAGAAAAGAAACCAATTATTCAATTTTTTTTTTGATTAAATAAAGTAAAAATGACTAATATGGAGATTACCGCTGGTGGAGCAACAACAACTCGAGCATTTTCTTTTGGCGATGAATGTGGAGTTGTTTTCCCCGAAGATACTTTTTTTTGATTTTTCGAGAATATTATCGGTGGTTTGGAAGATTTATCTGCCTGCAAATATGTAATCACTTAAGATTACCGCAATAATCAATAATAACTTTAAATATTGACTATAAAATATCAAAAGTAATAACCGAAAAATATCAATCATACAACAGCTAGAAAGTTAAATCATATCAGCTCTTTTAGTCTAGAGTTTATCTAATTTATCCGAGTAAAGGAATAAGAATCTAGAAAGAAGTTATAAATTTTAATATTTACGCTATTCTTTTCAGTAATTTTAGCTTCAATAAAAATGATCAATAAATTACTTTAGCTTTGAAGTTATTTCCTGTATTATTTGATTCCGCGGATGAAGCACTTAGTGCTGCCATCATCCGTGATCTTAGTGATAAATTTGGAGGTACTTTTGGTGTTGGCTGTAGTAAATTCAGTGTTTCCGACTACAAAAATTATCTACTTTCAAGAAAGGACAAGAAAAACAAATAAGCAGTTAAAATATAAAAAATTTTATATTTCTACTCATATTAAGTAAATAAATTTGAAAGGAGTAAATAAAAATGATTAAACAAACGGACTATTACAAATGTTTGATTCTCATCTTCAGGTAAAATTTTTAGTAGTCTTCAAGCATTCTAGCAAAAATTTTGTTTGAAAACTTGTAAATTTAAGCAATTATTTGAGTCAAAAAATATTTCACAAATATTAAGAATCTTTTTTTGAATATTTCAATGGAATTATTTCAAGAAGATGAACCATATTCGATACATTGTATATGTATGGAACATAGTTTTCGTTAATTATTGTTGCATATGCTTGTAAGCATTCTAACATTCTAACTTACTTACATAAACATAATTTATGGTAGCAAAGAAAAAAATCAAACATTTACAAAATAATAAAATATTTGCAATAAAGAAAATAAAATTTTATAACTTGTTGTTGAGCTTTTTGATAATTTAGAGGCAAAATTTGCGTTTTTGGATCGCCAACTTTTTTGGCAGGACGAAGTCCGGCAGGTACTGCAAGGCTATTGATACCAACGATCAAGTGAATAGTAAAAATCAAAAACAGACAAATAGTTGTAATAATGTTAAGCAACATGATTTGATTGCTCAGGATCTCATAAACAGTCAAATTCTGCAAATATGTTATTTAAGAAAGTTTAATCTGGAATATTTCTCTGGCGTAAATAAGCAATCTCTACAAATAACACAGTAAACATGAATTTTTATTCAAAAAAGCACTAAATAATAAATATTAAAAAAAATTAAACAAAAGTAAATAGATGAATAAATATATAAATAAATAATATGAATTTATGCTTGAAAAAAGCACTAGGAAATGAATTAAATCAGTACAGGATAAAATAACGCTAGATATGATACTATAAACATATCATCATTACGTTTAATATCATTTTATTAGGTGTTGATAACAGTTTGTAACTAGACCATGATCTTGTGATAAAGTTTGTATAACAGAAAAACAAATTTATATGATTAGCTATTGAGTAGTGTATAAAATTTTGGTCATGTATAGCATAATTAAATACATCAAGTCTGTAACTAACATCTTGCGCCTGGGAAGATATACGTTATTTAAGTAATAAAAGAATATTTTAGATAAGTTCATTGAATTCATTTCAACACGTCACGTACCGATAGTAGGTATTATTTATCTCGTTGCACCTCAGTACATATCATATCTCTGAACTGTTATTCACAAACTATGAAATGAAAATATTTGTATATGATATTCATATTATCATGTAATAATTCCATATTTTCAACCTTCTCACTGCAACTTTCATAAAAATTTATATCAGAAATTAATAAATAATCTTTGTCTTTTATTATGGTTCATCTGCAATCATTTTATTTTCATTAGTACTTAATTTGACAGCAAAAGAACCGCACTGACTTTAATTTTTTCGATTTTAACTTTTATCAAATAACATTTTTTCAGATCATACCTTATGCGTAAAGTGAAAAAGTTCATAAAAGTATATTATAGCCAAATATCAGAATCAATTTGTGTAAAAATATATCTTCTCATATTTGTACAGTTAGTTATACTTTAAATCAACAAATAATTAATTGTACACTGTAGTAATAATAATTTGTAAATAATGGAAAATTTTGTTGTTTTTTACATAAATGAAATATAATAATAATAATAATAATAGTAATAATAATAATAATAATAATAACATCAATAATAATAATAATAATAATAATAATAATAATAATAATAATAATAAACGAATAAAATAATAATAATAAATAATAAGCAAAAAGAATGGACATAAGCAAAAAGAGTGGACAACTGAAAGGAACAGATACATGTAATTACATCACAAAATATAAAACACTTCTACACGAAAATAATAATAATAATTAAAGAGATTGAAATGGTTAGCAAAGAGTACGCTGTGAATCCGAACAAACGAGCAAGTAGCTCCTTCGATCATCATCACTCGCGAGAAATCCTGCGCCATCAACAGCAATATTTGCCGTGTCAGTTATATGTGAGTGAGATGTGATATGCCCTTTCGTTTGAATGACCTAAAATGGCAATTTATTTCGGTTCTTCACAAACAATCAAACTTATAATTAGACGTTTTTATCGCCAGCAAGCACTCACTTCCCTTGTCATTCCACCTAATTTCCTAATTATAGTTCGTTTATTCTTCGCTTCACCTGAGTAATCGTTTCTCTATCTATTCTTATGCAGCACAACAACACCAGTATTGATAATGATAATGATAATGATAATGATGATGACAATTATGATAATAATTTTAATGATGACAATAATATAACAGTTCTCTGTAACATATTGCACTTGATAACCTGTTCAGCAGTTTGTTTGTTTGTTTGTAAAAGGTTACAGAAACTTAAAATACGTCTGAAGGAAGAGCAGTGCGAGAATGTTTAGGCATGCATCATAGTTGCCTGTGTATAAATTTAATCTAATTTTTGTCATCATCTCATTTGTCACAAATATTGTCCAATTTTTCATTTTCAAACTCTTTTTTTTTGCTTGCGATGTAATTTTCATTTCAAATTTGTTTACAATCTTTTTTTCAAATTATTTTCGCAATTTTAACAATTTCATATCCGTAAAAAATGAATTTACAATGCGTAATTCAGACTTAAAATAACAAAATAATTGCATAGTAAGAATTGAAGCTATGGTATGGAACGGAAGAGAGAGAGAGAGAAAGACAGAGATAGAGAGAGAGTATGTGTTCTAGGGCCGCAATTCAATCATATTCACACAGTTCGTTCTATTTCTTTAAGTGCTAAGACAGAAGAAGGGATTATAGCATTTGTGTTTAGTATTTGAATTAGTTTTGTATTTATGCGTGTAGTTTTGTATTTAAATACTGTCATCGTTTTAATACATATACAGTGAACATATTTAATTTTTTTAATTTCAAAATTTAAACAGTAAAAAATGATACATTATTTTTGAAATGTAATAATTTTTTTTACTAGGGTTCCATTCGTTACTGTAAAAGATACATTGCGAAAAGAAAAGAAAAAAAAAGGCGAAACAATTAATTACATGATGGGAAATATCTTGGTGAGTATTGTTCACATCAGTCCCTACATATTTTATGGATTGGTGATAATTTTTGGTTGGACTCTGGTTGTCATCTATGCAATTTTCAAACTTATCATCGAAAAGGTTGCTCATTCCAGGGGCATAAGTATGAATAAATATTTCAAGTTAAGCTTTTAGTAGCTTTAAGCTCTCGTTATGGTGTTTGTACTCTCACATTCCTCATCACCATACAATTTCTAACATTTTTAATGCATTTTGTTTACTTCATAATATTTTAATAGCACCACTTTATTTTGTTCATTTTTGAAGCCATGGACTTCAATTTCCATTCATCGAAAAATGGTCAAAGATAATGAGTTCAAAAGACAGCAGCATGTTAAGGATATTTTTGCTGAAGTTGATACGGATGATCCTGTTACAGTACGAGAAAGGATGCATATTTTGTCGTTAAATCTGTTTCAGTTAAGAGGTAGAATTCCATTTCATTTATTTATGCGTTACTTTTTTTCTGCAAACAGTTTTACAATATACACTTTTAAAAATTGTATTTAAACAAATTCACCTGATAGTTTCATACTTGAATAGCAGACTTCTTATCTAGCACCTCAAGAGATGAGAAAACGTATTGGTTGCTGAGAATAATGTTTATGACTAGTGTTTTTGATTGAAGTAGTTCTGGAATACTTTCGCCGAGCAAATTGATTCTCTGTTTTTAAAGATGAATTACAAAATGACGCAGTAACTGCCGTGGCAGTATTAAACGCTTTTGTCTGGAAAGCTATAATGGTACAACGTGAAATTAATTGTGTAATCGATTTTCTGGATGAAGCCTTTCATCTGGCAGAAGAATTAGATGCAAAATGGAATAAAGTTTCCGGAAAACCTCCTCTTTTCGGACTACCCTTCAGCGTTAAAGGAAATTTTTATGTGAGAGTAGTATTATTTCATGCTTACATGTAATTAAATGATAATTTAAGATGCCTTATTTCGATGAATAAAGTTTTTTAAAGACAGTTTCTTTTTCAGGTTAAAGGGTACGATTGCACTATTGGTCTTGCAAAGTTTTTGCAAAAACCAATGAAAAACGATTGCACATTAGTAGCATATTTAAGATCCCAGGGCGCTGTACCATTCGTTATAACAACTGTTCCACAAGGGCTTTTGAGTTTTGTATGTTGCAGTAGTTTGTATGGAACGACTTTCAATCCACATTCACATTCTAGATATGTTTTTAATTTAATGGGAAAGTTTATTTTCCATGCTGTAACATTTTTCTTGTTTTTTAGTTTCGGATGATGAAGTAGAAAACCTGTTCGAATGTTTCGATCCAGTGTAAAACTAAGAGTTTTCTCTACTAATAAATGGAAATTCAATTCAGTGCTTTTGAGGGATTTTTTTTCAAATTGTATCTATCGCTACAAAGATTAATTTATGCTTTGATTTTACCAACAAACTTCTCCATTGACAAAGCAGTATAGCTATTCAGATATTAAATCGAATAACACTCGTGCAAATCATACTTTCAGTCACGTAAATAGCATAAATATGCCTAGTTTTTGAGCTGTACACTTAGTTTTTTTTGTCAAGTAGATTGAAAATTTGAATCCTTATTTTAGAACTCCAGGAGGATCGTCTGGTGGGGAATGTGCACTGCTTGTTGCTGGAGGAAGTACTTTTGGAATTGGAAGTGATTTAGCTGGTAGTTTGAGAATTCCAGCTAGTATGTGTGGTGTTGTTTCTTTGAAACCAACAGAAGGTCCTCTTGCAATTCATGATTTGGTGCTAGAATGGTTCACATATTCAAAAACGTTTTTACTCCTATTTTTTATTATTCAGGACGCTTAATAGTGAAATATGTTCACAGTGGAGTACCTGGTAAAAATAATCTAGCGCTGAGCTATGGTTTCTTCACAAAGACTGTTGAAGAACAAATTTTCTTACTAAGGAATTTGTTAGGATCATCAGAATATCCTGAAATGGTCTTACATCAGCCACTACTACCACTAAATGACGAAAGACTCACTGTTGCTGTGAGTCGTCCTCTTCGGATTGGTTATTTTGTTGAAGATGGATTTATGAAGCCCGTTCCAGCGTAAGCAAATGCTTCCAAAGTTCAACCATAATTTTTGGAAATCACCATTCAAAAATTCAGATTTCGTCATAATTTATCTTTTTAAAAAGTTCAGACATTCAGAGTTGATAATATAATGTTCTAGATGTGCAAGAGCTGTTATACAAACCGTCGAGAAATTGAAAACACTCGGTCATGAACTAGTACAGTTTCATTTACCTGAACCTGAGAATGCTGCTTCATTGTTTTATAAAAACTTGATGCCTCATGGAGGCGATTTTTTAGTGCAACTCTATTCTAACGAAGAAACCCCATCGTACCTTCGTACATTCACTTTCTTACTTAAGGTTCAAGATTCATTTTTCATTAATTTGCACTTTGGAAAAGATAATCTTTAAAAAATTCATGTATAACATTCATATATGAATAATAATAATTTATTATTATTCAACAATCAGCTACAAGTTTGTTTTCTTCATCTATTGATTCATTCACAAGCAATATGTTATTTTTATGATACCATTAGTTTTAGGTACCATTCTTCGTACGAAGAATTGTTAGTTTTGTTCTGTCTTTTATCAGTAAACCGTTATCAATATTAGCTGGTTCATACATCGACAGCTTAAAAAGCTTGCAAATCACGCAGGAGATGACTAAGCAGTATACAGAAAGGGTTTTTTTTTTTACTGTTTTTGAAGTTCCAATTTTGGTTAAAAATTGAATTGAGTTATTTTTTATGTATATACAATAGATATTTTGATAATACCTGTACTTGTAATGTTCTCTTTACAGTTCATCGAGGATTGGAAAGAACTCGAGCTAGATGCTCTGATATGTCCTGCGTTCACAGGTGATAATAATACTAAAATCTAATAACCTGACAGTATGTGAAACAAATTTATAAATTGGGAATGTCGTAAAATGTTGCTTTTTAGTTCCGGCTGTACCACATGATTATCCAAGTCGTCTTGGAGCTTGTTGTTTTGCAACTGGTTTGTTTAATATGCTGGACTTTCCTGCTGGTGTAGTGCCGGTAGGAAAGGTTAGTGCTACTGATGATCGTTCACTGCTCGACGAAGTTGTTTGGCCTACAGGTAAGGTTCTGATAGTCATCTGGATTTTGAAATTAAAGATTAAATGTTTGGATTAAATTGGTTTTTTATAGAGAATATTATAGGTAATGACCCGGCGTTGAAAATATTGAGAAGTGCAGCACGTGATTCCGTCGGCTTACCAGTTTCTGTGCAAATTGTTACTTTACCAATGAGGGAAGAGTACTGTTTGTCATTAATGAAAGAAGTCGAAAAAGTTTGGAACAAGTGATTTGACTTTGTTCAGATTTCGGTATTGATTGTGTGACTTCAAAGCTCAACGATACGGGTAAATATGTACCTAGGAAAAGATAGCGCGTTCTGTTTCTTTTGATAAAAAAAGTGATTACATTACTATTGACGGGAATAAAATATTGTTTAATAACTGGAACAGTTGGTGTTGCTTATTTTCACTACCAAATATGTAGGGAATTTTGGTAAAATTTATTAGGCCCAAGTACTTAAAAAAATAAATTCCAAAAATTCATACAGATCACATTTTGTGTTGTAAATTGCTTTTTATGAAATGAAAGTATTTTGTTCTAATTCATTGGGATTTCGCCGTTTAAATTATTGAGGACCACATATTTTTAGTGATTCAACATTTACAGGGGTTTCGAAAGTGTTAAAAAGTAATAGAAAAAGATTCTGCTTGTTCTTCCTTGCAGATACTTAATAAAAACTGAGCAAAAGCCCTATTTGACTGTCGGAGTAGCAAAGCAGTTAGACATTTCTTTATAAATTAGAAATTTCATTAGCCTTGTCATCTAAATAATTTCTCTCAGAATTTAGATGAGATACTTATGCTTCACTCTCTGTGACATGTCATTAACATGTTTTTGTTTAGTGCTTCCATATGCTTCATCGCTTCTTAGCTTATTTTTCTTTGTATTGTATTTTGGAACATGTGTTAGTCATCGTTTTCAGGAAATGGTCTAATTGAGTGAATATAAATTGCTTGATTGTAACTAATATAATTTAGCATAATTAAAGTGCAGTTGTTAATTACTGATACTTGAATTACTCGATTTAAAGAATGCCCAGTATATCTGAAGATCTTTCGATCTATTTGAATGCATTTGCATAACCAGAGTCTGCTGACACTGTAATCGAATCAAAAACATTAAATTCCTCAGAGCACTGATTTCTGTCTGCCTAATTTCAATGCAGTCAGTTAACGATGTTAAATTTTTAAATTCGGTACTAAAGGTTTCGCGCGGTGGGGGGAGAGTAGTTGTCATTATCGTGTTTGAGATAGGTTTTCAGCATCGGTTCTAATCTTCAGTATTTCTTTAAATCAAATTTTGGACCAAATGACTCTCAACTTCTGGTTAGTGAGTGCGAGTCCCTGCAAGACTTCATGAAGAGATAGAATATATGTGCTACTATATGCAGTCTAGGTGATTAAAGAAGACATGACAATGTAGGTTACGTCTGTCAATTTATGTTTGATTATTCAGCTTGTTCTAGTTCTTCAAATGGATGAAGTATTATTGTCGAAAGATTTACAAGCAATATTGGATAAAAGAAATAATTGGTCCTTAGCGGACGATCGAGAGGTAATAATAATGCAGATCCTTTAGATATGTTAGTTAACTATATTTCAATGGAGAAATAGTGCGAAACTTGGGGGTTAGCTTATTCTACTCACATTTTAATGCATAGTGTCTGCACAGTCAGTGTACACCGGATTGGGTGTGGTGTTTGTTTCAGCTTTGTCGGCTATTGGAGACGATGAATTCTACGATTTGTTCGAGAATTTCTAATGTTGAGGATAGCATAGCAGAAAATGCTACGAAAGTTTTAAGCACAGCTGTACAGGTATCTAACCTGAACAATCGACTGGCTCTATTTGCATCAGATCAGTTTATTGAAAATGTTGGTTGATTTCACTTCATACATATATATATCCGAAAAATTTTCTTTGATTACTTTCTATTTCAGCGTGTCGACAATGATGCAAAAGTGAGCACCAATATAATTTCTCAGAAGGTGAAATCTTTCTTGTTTTGTGTTCTTGGGATTATTTAATAGTTACTAATTTTTTTTTTTAATTTGAATTAACCGATATAAAGGATTCAGGTGATTCCAAAGGAACAAGCAGAAGCAACAAATAATGTATTGCAAGCAGTAAAGATGGGCATGGAATTAATGCGGGTGCGTTTCAAACGAATAGATTTGCGTCCAGAAGATTTTGATGAGGATGACGATCCAATGTTTATGCCGGATCCAGTATTTGAGCCCTATGTATACATCTTTGTTTTTCATATAAAATTGCATTTTTTGCTTCTATTAGTGCTTTTTGTAACCTTACTATGATCATCCTGAAAATATTAAACTAAAATTCATAAATACACCATCTTCATTTAAAAATTCAATCTTATTGTAAATATTACTGGAACAGTCAAATTATAAAATCCATTTCGAAGTACAGGTTAGTTTCTTCCATGAAATAGTCATAATTTTAAGGACGAAAACCTTTCAAGACCTCTTCCGCACTTGATAGGTACTGCAGATTGGGAAAGTTCATCATTTGCAGGTGTGTGGGAAGAATTCATGCAGAAACCGAAGGTTTATTTATTTATTTTAAGCCTTTCTTAACTTATATGTTTGAGGACAATAAATTTGATAGTAAGTGAGAGCACTCAGTTGGAAGCTGAATGAATTCAAACGGCACTTTTGTCTATTGCATTGATTTTTTAAATGATATTAATCTTTACTTTGTCTCGATTCTGTATTTCAGTTAGTTCTAACTTCTTGTTTTTTGATAATAACCTCATATCAAAAAGTTGTAGATTTAAGGTAACAGAGGAAGTTGTCGTAACTTTGCCTCCTTTCACTAATCCCAAAATATCATCGTGCATAAATCCACTGTAAGTGGTTTTGATCAACAAATAGTTGAATTTCTTATTAGTTTTTCAAGTTTTTAATACTTACATAACCTATTTTTGTCATCTTATGAAGTTATGTCGTTTCATGACTTTAGATGAATACACCATCTAAAAATACATTTATTTGTTTGAGGATAATAAATTTGATAGTAAATGACAGCAAATTATCTGCTTCACTTAAATACTAAAAATTTCATCTGTTATGGGTTTTTAGTGTCGAGGAAAGCATTTCTAAAACACTAGAGACGGAATCGAAATCTTTTGATGTTGAAAGCTCTGAAAGTGACAGTAATGATCTTGCATGTGAATGTAACAGTGTAAATAAGGTTTCTTATCTCTTACATTTGATATGTGAATGAGAGCTTGAATCAAAGTTGTATGTTTTATTGCGAACTACAAGCAACTAATGAGCTGTTTCTCATTGAAGTTATTATGAATCATTTGATACAAGAATAAAGTTAATTGTAGGAAATGACACCATGTTCGCAGACAATTTTCGGGAAGGAACGTATAATAAAGGTTGGAGACCCTGCAAATTGTATCTTCGATTCATCCGAAAATGAAGATTCTCCTTTGTGTATGTTTTCTTGTGTTGTACGCATTTTGTCATTTTTTGTATTTCGATAGTTTCGTAAGTTTCAGGTTCAAAAGTCTCTTTGATCCGTCAGAGTCCTAAAATATCAGAAAAACTTTTTGATCCACAAGTACATGTGAATCCTGTGGACTTAGAAGAAGCTGTAACTTGTAATGAAGCTGAAGTATTAATAAAGCAAAACCTGCATAATGATTCAGAGAAAGAACAGTCGAATTTCAATGAAGTGAGTCTTTATATTCTGCAAATCATAATTTTTATGATGCTAAAAAGGATAATTGCTGTCAATTTTCGGAGAATAACTTAGGGTAATTTGGAATGCCGTTGTGGATTTGAAATATTTTGGAAGTATATAAAGCGCGGTTTTTTATAGGGCTCAACGAGAACTTTACATGATTTATTTGTTGAATGCAATTCCGACGATGATGACCTTTTTGTCGACAGGAAAAATGTGGTTATTTTAAACCATCTGTTCTGAACATACTAGTTTCTGTTTCTGTTTGACTGATTCATTATTTAAATTTGTTAAAGTGATTGTCAATTAGGTATTCAGCAACACATATTCTCACCTGTACTGTTTTCTAAATTATTCGGAAAGAAAAAAACTGAGCTGTGAAGAATATATTCTCGGTACCATATCTGCACGCCTTCCAAAGTCGTGAGAATTTTGAGCAATAAAGATTTTGGAGCAAAAAGTGATACTTTCTTAGTACCATATTTTTCTCGAATTTGCAAATTTTTAGGATGCGGGGAAGCAGCAATGTGATGAAATATACTGAAAATGCTTTTTAATTTCTGAAATATAAAAACTTTCAGACTAAGCCTCAAAAGTACATAAATGATGTTCTATATGATGCGACGATAGTAAATACAAGAAGTGTTTCCGAAGGAATATCAAATAAAATAACTGAGAATGGTATTGAGGAGGAAAGAAAAAATGACAGCGAGAAAAAGGTGCAGAATGGTGAAGCTGATTGCATTTTACCGTCACTGGTAAAGGTATAATAAAATTTAATACATTATTTTTTGATATGCGGCAAGCTTTTTTTAGGGAAGACAAAAAGTTAACTTCTGGTCATTTTTTCAGTTAAGATCAAAAGGGCCATCCAGGCGTTCTCCTTCTCAGTGGTCGCAGCATTCTCAAAAGAAGAGTGCAGGAGATGTTAAATCATTATCTGCTTCTAATGCTAAAGGCATGAGTGTAGAAGTCGGTGCAGCCAAGATGAGAAAGGCCAAAATAGCTGAAGAAAAACGCGCCGATCAAACGAAAGTGAGTGCGAGAACTGTTAATTATGATTCTCAAAATGGAAATCGATCGGACGAGAGGAGTAAGGCAAAATCTATATTTTCTTCTGACTCTGATGATGATATTTTTTCAACTTGCGCTAAACTGAAAACAGGAGAACCAGATACAAAGGAATGTGATTCTCAAATTCACGAAAGAAAGATATCGTTCTCAGCGTCCAAAGATTGTTATTTATCACCATTATTAGGCCAAAATCAAACAGCTGTTAAGAGTGAAAAAGCAAAATACTTGTTCGACTCTGATGATGAGAATACCTTTGCTCATACTCATTATGTGAAGGGGCAACAACAAAAGAATGAAGTTGTTGTACAAAGAGTGGCTCCTTTATATAAAGAGGAATTATCTGCAAGAAGGGCAGAACATATTCCGAAAACGAATGCAATCTTGAAACCTAAAAGAGCAGACATTTTTGGTGATGATTCTGATGATGATCTTTTTAGATAATACTTTGTTTTGTTCTTTTTCTGTTCAGCTTTTTATTCATCTAGTTTACAATAAATGTATGTAATCGTAAAAGCAACTGTCTTTTATAAATTTAGAATTGATTTTTCGTAAAAGCATGGAACAGATACTGATTGCCTGTTACGAGTTACTTTGCACATACGACTGCACATTTCCCATGAGGTCAAATGCAACAAGTACCTGACGACACATCGTGGTCCGCAAACGATCAGTCGCTACAACGGTGTTCTTCGCGTATCCTTCACTTTAATTCTTATTACTGCGAAAAAACTAGAGATTATTACTGTGAGTCAGTCCGTAGGCACCACTGATACTGGAGCTCTAGTGAGGTTTTCACCACTACCACAAACGTGGATGAATAGTAGTAGCAATATTCTATAAGAGCTAAACATTTGTAATCGTAAACAACAGTGATGTCTTACTGTAATGCGTAAAATTCTCCTAGCACTGTATAGCCTTCTGTGCAAACATTTATAATTAATTTATCACACTATTCGTAAATTTAATAGCATATCAATTTAAAATTTTAAAGTAAAGCTACAAAACTGGAAGAACAGCTTGTTCAATGCGTAGTGAGTACGAATACTACTAGCAGGTATCCGAGTAAAATTTGGATAGGATTACGAGTTATCAAAATAAGATAGAGGTAGAGACAAATTCTGCACAAGGCAAGTAAGATAATATCACTAAATTCATAGAACAACATCAAAATCAGTACATACTGCAATACTTCCAATGTAAAAATTAATGGAAAAGAACAAAAACCTCATCTGTAGCAAACTAGTTCACAATTCTGTAACTCTAACGAAATATAAGTATCATTCAAATCAACTGGGTGCATTTTCCGTAGTAACTGGTATGCGTCTAGAGAGAAAAACTATCACTTGAGGAAATCCTAAATAAATATCGACGACTCTGCGTTGTGTGGTTAAGTATGAAATGAACATTAAAGTAAGATCTCATTAACTTAACAATACAAAGTCACATATTAGCAAACAAAAGCAATACAATACATTGTAGTTCTTATATCATTAATACAAGCAACTTTATCACGATGTCATGAAAATTTAGACCTATATGTAAAACTTGCATAATAACGAGGTAAAGCTTACATATGACATTAACTTCCACCAAAACATTCAAATTTGGCAGCGATGTCCTTTTGTTCACTCTATAATGAAGAAAGGACTACACAAACCTATAGCATTTTCTCTACTATCGTATCCAAAGATACTGAAAGACTAATTTCACATCAAATAAGAATAAAGATGCCAAAGGCACTTTACGAGAGATAAGAGTTGAATGCCTAGTATATTTTTGAAAGACAGTTCAAATCAAAACAACCAGACAAAAGAACAACAGATGAAAGTAATTAAATATAACTAGATACTATGAGTGAGATAAGAAAAAGAAAATCTGGACTGCTCAGTCCTTATGCTTTATGAATAAATTAGAAACCATTAGTCACTAAGAATATATTGGTGATAACAAGTTAACCAGAGACGCCCCACGACAGAATCAGCTTCTCAATCGCCTTTGGCAGTTCTCTACGATCCCACTTGCCAAGGAACGAGTTAATACTCTCAGTCAGTGCTGTGGCCAACTGCTCCAAATGTACTAGCGGCCAATTCCGAGTTTTCATAACAGCCTTAAAAGCTTTTTAAAATTCATCATATTTTAAAAAATAAATTCCAAAAATGTGCACTTGCCATCCATAATCGATCGCAAGTAGGTTTATGAGAAAATTTTTATTTCGAATACCTTAATGAACAGGAGAATGAAATACTTATTTCAACCACAGGCTATTCATTTTAATCTACATGACTTGCTTTTGGGAGTAAAAAACTTTAAAGAAAATTTTCAAGAAATAATTACCATTCGGACTAGTTCTTCAAGTTTAGTTAAATTGATTTGTAACACTGGATGTGCTTCAGTAGTACGAGAATCACGATTCTAAATAAAATTATACAAGGACCGAATTTAGGACTAACAAAAATGGGACCACAGACGTTTTCGTTTACTTTTAACCAATATTTCTGTCAAAGAGCTTTTCCAAACTGACTTACACGTATAACAACTTTATCTTACTAAAAGTGACCAAATTTAAATACTTGAATCAAACAATTGTTTGAAAACAACGGCTGCATCATACCTATGGCAAGAGGCTAACCATCATGCATCATGCATCTTCTATAAACAAACAAGCTGCAAAAACTGACCCGAATACTCAAATTTGCTATAAGAATGATAAAAATGAGTAAAGATCGAAATATTTTGAAACAAAGATAGGTGAAAGGTCAAACTTGCCATGATCACGTAATGACCGTTTTCATCACTTCTCTTGTTTTTATCTATCAAATCGACATCATGACTCGGTAATTGGTAACGAATATCTTCAGGTTGATCACTGAAGTGTGAACAATAACATCCAAATTAGTAAACGAAAAATCAGATGAATGGAAAGCATGCAAGAGATGAAATTAAGACAAAAAACTATCATTCCACATTATTATGATGTTATTTGAATTCAGACTCTAGAAATACATAACACGAACTCTGAACGAGGATAAACGATACTGCATTTCCTAATGCTACGTCGTCTCTGAGGCAGTTTACAAGTATCAGATTTACGTCCTTTGATAGCATTTTTGTTTCCTTCCTATAAGAAAACTGACATACAACTGGTACATTTGTTTCATCATTTGATATATTTCAAATATTCATGTATTTCAAGTACTTTGTGGAATACGTAAAATGCAGTTGAGGACTAAAAATTTTAGATAACACTAACTCCTGTCAATTTTTTTTCTGATGAATCACTGATGACTTCTCCTTCCAAATCACACGAATCAGAAATTACTGCTTGTTTAACGCCATCTAGATTACAAAGATCATCTAACTTCACACCATTTTCGCGCAGTAATTTTTTTACATTCTGAAAAACCTCCTCACATTGCAGTACTTAAATTCCAAAAAAGTATAAGTTGAAAACCTCTCCAAATACCAAATCTGCTTACTTTATATGCCAAAAAAAACTGATTAAATAAGCATGGACCAAGTAATATGGGATAAAAAAATGTTCCATACTCTTAGTTAAAAATTAGAACAAGACCACTTAAATTTCCCATGAGATCAAGAAAATGTTTCAAAACTATTCCAACCTCTAATCTTTTTACATATTCAGAGTCAAGATCCAAAATTAATCGTGTGCCCTTATCTAGCAAGAGTTTCGCCATGATTCGTATTTGCCGTCCTAAAATTAATGAACTTCTTACAATTTCATTTTCCACTCTATATGAAACTGAAGACAAATATATACAAATCAGAATTGAGATCACCGACAGTAACCTCTGTAATCAGTAATTGGATTATATTCTATAGCATTCTGATAAATTAGACGTAAGTCGTCGATCACTTCCTCCTGAGTTTTATAAGCTGATACTTTTGAAAACATGGTTTGAAGATCCATTGGATTTTTAATATATGTATAATAGTCTGGTACATCAACAGGGTCTACCGGTTTTGTGAAAACTTTGAATCGACTATCTCGCATTAAACTAACTGGAATATTAGTATAAGTCAAAAATTATCGGTAAGAAATAGTACAACCATTCAATAAGCAATACGGTACATCGAAATATGAAAAACTTGACAAAAATCAAAAACCAATAGTTTCTTCGTAATGCAGAACGACTGTTAAAGTATAATCATCATATAAGTTCTTTAATTCCATAATTTCATCAGCATTCAATCGAAGTGACGACTGCATAGGTTCAGCTATTGGAAGGACGGGATAATGATCTACTGAAATGGTAAAAAATATAAATGTAAAACTAAACTGATTATAAATGAAAAGTTCTAAAAAAAGCAATCAAGATGTAGCTCAAGCATAAAGAAACATGTTATATACAAACTCATGAATAGAATCCCCTTCAAATATTTCAGGACAGCATAAAATAGTAGATTTCAACTGCGTTTCATGAAAGATCTTTAAAACAGCAGTTGAATTTAGGAACAAAAAATTGATAAAATTACAGTTAAAGTTTATGGGTCTTGTGCAAGACTGCTCAATGATAACATGTCGAAAATAAGCTTCAAGTCGATGAACTGGTGGTGGCATTATTTCTAATGAATCTCGCCAATGGAAAATGAGTTGCACCTGCAACTGCGATAAGTAACACACAAAAGACATAATTAAGTAACATGCTTCATCATAAATAACTATATTTCGAGACACTACTAGTGATGCTCAAGTTGTGCGAATAATATCGGAACATCAATCAAGTAAATTTAATGTGAATCTACTACTGAAATAACTGAATATTTTATTCCTTCTTAAATTCCTTTCCAAACTTCTAATATAATATAGAAAAAACCTACCTCTGAAGGCAAATTCAGATAAGTACATTCTGCCGTTGCAAGAAGGAAAATGGAAGTGAAATACGTGTATGAACTGACTGCAGTTAGCAACTGAAAAGAAAAGCAATGGTAAGATGCATTTCAAATGTATTCATATTGAATATATGAAAAGCACATTTCTATATAATTTAAAAACAAGCAGTGATAATGAGAAAAATACGTTATGACATTAAGAAACAACACTTTAGATCTAAATGTGTATGATAACTAGAAAAAAAAACCAAGTTCCAGACTGTTTGAGACACTGATGTATACCACTTATCAATAGATGGAATTAACAATAAACACGGTGTTCCCCGTGATGAAGCCCTAATAGCTGACTGCAAGCACTGAGAAAAGCATTCCTCTGGCGACCCTATAAAGACTTATTAATCAGCAAATATTATAGACATGTTGAAACGAATAAAAACATGATAAGTGAAAGAATAGAACTGTTAAAAAACATTACCGTAGGAGAAAATATTGTTCATAGAAAGAGAGAAAACGGACAAGTGGTCCATAATATTAATTAAAGCTGGTAAAATATATGATGTTTGACCCATATCACTGGAGGAACCGTAGATCAGTAGACGAGCTAAAATGTTATTCAAAAATATCAATTTCTCACAAAAGTTTTCTATTGTATTTCATATTACGATTATACAAGATATATTACTAGACTACGATAATTTCGTAGCAAGACAAATTAGTAAAACTTCATGACAAAGAGCTTGAAAACTTTTCAGAAAAATCAATTTAATGAATAGCAATGATAAAAGTTTGGCTCTCAAAATTCAAAGATGAAAATGGAATTAATCAAGAGCGAAAAAATAAATAATTACTAATAAGCTAGACCAAATATATCGAGGAATTTATAGTAGCCTTTCATTTTAACCAACAATTTAATAATTTGTTCACTCGCGTGAAGTTACAATAATCATGAAACTTTTGAGTAACTGGTTAAGGCTGTGTAATCTATGGAAATACTCTCATAATTCATAATTCATCAAATATAAACATGCGTTGACTTTCTTTAAAAATCACTCCATACCGAAATTTAGTGATATACATAACTAAGCAAATGGTTATGTACAAGTATGGAATCACAGAAGGGAAAAACTGTGAAACTATGCCACTTACGAATAAGAAAGACCATAATTTCCGATTAGGAAAAAACACAATTAAAAATTTTAATCTACAGCAGCATACAAAAGACTACAGGACACGTTACTGAACAGAATCATACCTGCACGGTCAATGCACAGCATATTGATGACTTGCAGTTCATCAATCTCATCTTAACTATGAAATATTAATAAATTTTTCAGCTTATATCGAGTTTTGTATAAGCTGAATAAGATTGAGTGTGAGTATTAAAAGATATTAAAATCTAGGAAGTTTTTAAGATTAAGTGGGAGTATTAAAAGATTCAGGAACTGGATTTATTAATACTCACACTTAATCTTAAGCATATTTATGCTCATAATTATGACCGTTGTCTTATAGAATTGAAGAGAAAATAAGTTGGACAAGAGATGTTTTTTGAATAATGTTGTTCCAGATAATTTGTTCACGAATACCACCACACATATCAATAAAGTATGATGGTATTTCGTGAATAAATTCATTTCTTGCTAAATTTATATCAATACATTGGAAATTACACAAACTCTTGTTTTTGTAAAAAAATGCTTCTTTCCTTATCTTCAGAAACAACGCTGAACCAAATAAATTTAATATTCTGTAGACGATGCGATTATAAATAATTTCTGAGAAAAAAGTTTACTCATACCCGGCGGGACGACGGGATTTGCATGCAATGTACTCAATACTTGTTCGATCTGTCCCACATTATCATTGGCTTCAATTACACCACGATAACCTTTGGGCACGCGATGACATATCGATAAAATTAGATCCTCTAACAATATTCTAAGTCGATCATCGAGAACACGTGACGGTATTGTAATATCTAAAAAATTATGATAAAAATTTACTACTTTTTATAAGGATACACCTTAACAAATATTAGTTGAAAATGTCGATGAAATATACCTCTTCGAGCAGCTGGCACAATACGCCGCATAGCAATTTCAAACTCATTCTTACCGACTTTTAGTGCATTAGAATCGACGACAACTTTCTCTTCGGAAACATAGACTTGAGGAAATTGAGATCGAAATGAAATCAGTACTGCTTCCGTGCAAAGCGACTGAATATTACTATTTAGAATACAGAAAGTATATTCAAAAGAACTTTAAAGCAGTCCTTCTGCACTGAAAAATTGAATACAAAAAATTTTATGATTGAAGTGAACCTTCAAATCAGCTCCGCAATATCCAGATGTGCGATCCGATAACCAACTTAAGAGATCGTCGTTCGGTTTATTAACACCCCACGATGAAGTATGAATTTTTAAAATTTCTTGTCTAGAATTTTTAGTAGGCAGCCTAAAATCAATATAACCTTCAACAAAAATCTTTCAGACGCATGAATTCAATTCGTAAAAAAGACTTCAGGAAAAATTGAAACGAAAAAAATTAAAGTGACATTGATTAAGCTGTCCAAACAAACAACACAGAATTCTTAATACTATTTGTTTAAACATGATGTTTTAGAGGAACTGCTTCATTTGGCAAATATTCCAGATTTTGAAAATTAAAAAACAAACCTGAAACATAATTCTCGGTCAAATCGGCCTGGACGTCTTAAAGCAGGATCAATCGCATCCAATCTATTAGTTGCTCCAATAACAACTACCTTAAATTAGTGTAAAAATAGTAATGGAAAGTTTCAGCAAATAAATATAGAAATATTTGAAAATGAACGGAAAGGAAAAAGTACTTCGCACTGACTATCCAAACCATCCATAAGAGCAAGTAAAGTTGAAACGACAGAACTGTGAACTTGATCCTGCTTAGAACTTCGAACTGGAGCTAGACCGTCAATTTCATCAAAGAATATTATGGAAGGACGCATTACGAAGGCTTGTTCAAAAAGAGACCTAAAGTCAAATAACTTTTATCATTCGTATACACAAACACTGCTTCTTTATGAAAAAGCTAAATTTACAAAGACAATCGAGAAAAGATACTGACGCATAAAATAAGGTAAATCGCGAAAAGTTTTGAAAATAAAGCTAAAAATCTTAATTATCATCCAACCTTAGCTGACGCTCAGACTCGCCAACCCACTTACTTAAAATATCAGCTCCTTTGCGCATAAAGAACGATATTTTTTTAGTACCTCCTGCACATAAGTTTGCCAATGCACGAGCTACTAATGTTTTCCCTGTGCCTGCAGAAAAACTTTTACATTTCTTATTAAGTTTGATGATTTTAATGGTTTTAACATAAATTTAAGCAAAACAAAGCAAACTACGCTCAACAATATAATTTAGATAATTCAAATACGGTAATGGAAGCAATTTCATACTAATTTCCCCATAATATTTCTCAGAATGCAACATAGCAAACTTGCAGCTTCAAATTTATTTTCTATACAAATCATCTACTGCACTCAAAATCTTGCTGTCATACAGTATTTCAAGAATTTCTTTCCCACAATAAAACTAATTTTTAAATTAATTTTGAAACAAACCAGGCGGTCCATAAAAAATGACTCCTTTTGGGGGTTGAATTCCGAACTGAGAGAAAACTTCACCATACAACAAAGGCAAAAGTACTACTTCCTTAAGCGATTGTATATGATGATTAAGACCACCAATTTTACTAAAATCTATGCTGCGATCGATGTGCAAAGAGTCGGTATCTGATCCCTTTATATTACTGGATTCAGATTTTTTCCGGATTTTTTCCCGCACCATGTACAATAGATCTTCACCTATTAAAAAAAAGTCTTACAATAGAACAAAAACTGAGCGTTCCTTTTTCCAAACACCTGCTCTTAACTACAAAACTGAATTGGATAAAAAGACTAGCAATATATATATATATAAATGTTGAGAACATCAAACATCGCAAAATCTTAACTTGGGCAGAATATTACAGAAAAGTTATGCGCATGATGAACGAGTGAAATCATACTATTCAGTGAACGTAAGTAAGGCTTCGTTTTATTCCTTTTTTGTAAGCTACGATATCCAGAATGATTGTCTTGATCTGCCAGTTCAAAACTCGTAGACACAGATGAAGAATCTGACTCACTATCACACATACGTTTTCTGGAAGAAAAAGAGCTTTAAAATATTTAAATGCAAATGGAGAATTCAAATTATGAAATAATTTTTTATAACAATACAAAAAGTTCTATACCGAATAATTTCTCTCTGTAGTCTGTGTTTCTTCAATTTATTACTCAAATGTCGTTGAAAGTCGGAACGCGTTGACTGAGGACGTTGGTCAATAGAAAAACGAATTACAGGATTGATATGTGTTCGTAAAGCATAATGTCTTGAGACATTTTCTGGATCATTCTCCTCCTATAAATAATCCAGAATAAATCAGCTTCAATTTACAATTATAAGGCTGTACCTGCAATTCGAATTTTGCCACATATTATCAGCAAATTTCTAATTTATAATGTTCAAACAAAATAGCACTGAAAATTCTAAAAAAAATTTGCATAGTAATTTTTGTAGCATATAAAAATGAGTAGTAATATAATCATATGTGAAATACAAAATAAACCATGTCAAAAATTACCTGCAAGCTTACCTCCGCAGCACCATTTGTTTGGTCATCATATTCATCTGAACCATCCTTTTTACTCTGTTTTTTACGGACTGCGCTAAAATCAATCAAAAGAATGTCAAATAAAACCTGGCATTTTTCTAAATACATTGAAAGAATACCATAAAGCTGGATATAGATAAGCATTGAAATGTCGTCAGGCAGACATTTTAATACTTAACAGCTTCTCACTGACACCTATAGATAGATTAAAATGAACTACTAAATACATATTATGAAACACGAATAATTCCATTTATTGCAGAATTTTATCTACTTTTCTGACTTTTATGGAACCAGCTTCGTGTCTGTAAAATGATGTTTTCGACGCACCTATAACTATCAATACTTCGTTTTCTTGTTTCAGCTGCAATAACAGCTTGTCTTTTAATTTGACTTCGCTGTTTCACATTTTCGTACATGTCAGGTTGAACAATTTCCTTTTTACCCACATTTTTAGAATTATTTGTTTTTGAGTTCGAAGATCTCGTATTTTCCGCCGCTGAATCTGAACCAGAGGAGTTCATTCCGCTAACTGGAGAAGGTTGTTTCGAACTATAATAACAATATACTTGAAAAACTAATTAAAAAAATAAATGAAACATATTTATAAAAGTTCATATTTATAGTTTTTAAAGCATATGCAAAAACTTATTACTACTACAGAGATTTTGATGATTGAACCACCACATAGTAACAGAATACACAATGTTGAACACGTAGTGGAACTTTTTTTTAAAAAAAAAGAACTTTGAACGGAAATAAAAGTGCTGGAATTTCAGACACTTTTTTGATTATTGGGTTCTGTTACATATATCAGAATTATTTTTACAGCGCTTTGGCCTTACAGAAAACTCTCACCTCAACTTTTTGCGGAACTTCGGGTGTATCAGACATGAATCACACTCCTCATCATCAGTGTTAGTACCAGTGGCAACACCAAAAGTCTCAACATAGATTCTATTCTTAGAACGCGTCGAGTAACGAAATGGACGAGGTAACATGTATGAATTTTTAATCTGAAATGAAATAATATTTTTCTTCTAATCCAAGTTTCAACAAATTTTAAGTTTTCGATTCCAGTCAATAAATCGATAACAATTTTATTATTTGAAGTATAACTATTTGCTAACGAATATATCATTGACTACATTCAGAAACAAGGAAATGCGCATGCGTACCGGATATGCGAATGTTTATCTTATTGCACTACTGCATACGGCAAATACTTTATGTGATCTCAAAATTACTCTTATACTTGCTGATATGATGATCTGTTTTGCACTGTCTTTTCTTCCACACACTACAGAACTACTGTATAAAACTTTTACTCAATATACCCGTACATACACATGCACAAAAGCACGTTACTTCTTTTGCACAGATATTCCATAATTTTCAGACCATAGAACACACACATAGAACAAATGATAGTAAGAAAGATGAGAGATTGTACTGATTTATGAATAACAACAAAGCATTAAGATACCAAAATTACAGTAAAAAGCACATACCGAATGCCTGGATCTGTTGGCTTGATTTACTAAAGAGCGTAGCAGTGAGTCTCCCGAAGAGTTCCCCAGCAGAAAGTTCTCATCTAGACTCATGTATAGCGCCTGTCTGTCTCGTGAAGAACGCCGAACAC